GCCTTATGTTAATTGGGCTAAAAAAATACTTTCTAGGTTGTGTTTTCAAATTTTTCCTGTTTGTAATTGTTCAATAGAATAAAAAGAGTGTATATGTCAAAATTTGGATCAAACAAATGGCCATAAGATGGTTTTTTAAGGTTGTTGCATCATATTACTATACAACGGTTGCATGAAATCATTGCTCTAAAAATCTAGATGGGTCAAGTAGTAGTACTAGCGGTGCTCATGCATTTTGTTTTCTTACATGTACATACAAAGCGAAGAAATGGGCTTGAGCCAAGAAAACTCAATGATTTGGCACTTGTAGGAGAGAATCAGAGGCCTAAGGAGAAGAAGTTCTATCAGCAGAAGCATGATCTCATTACTTCCAAGGTCAAGGAGAATGCTACTGAGTGGTTGGTTGGAGACCCTAGAACTAAAGAGATCTTCTCTTAGGAGAGTTTGACTTGGCATATGGCTGAGGATGCATTAGGTTCAGCTTCTGATCCTAGGAGGGCTCCTCGAGTATCAATTGCTGCTTCTTCACAAAAGGTGAAGGGGACAAAGGAGGATGATGCAATTTTAGAAGAAATCGAGGAATATGAGAAAAATGTTGAAAAGGATGATGATTGTAATGATGATGGCCTCGATTCAGATGGAGGTACAAGTGGTGATAAAGATTCACACTAAAGATGTTTGAAGAACCAAAGATTTCGTCTCTTCTTTTGTTTTACATCTTATCTTTTATACTGCATCATCTCATATTGGTCTTATACTTTTATTGTAGACTTGGAGTCCATGTGACTATGAACATATGTATGTGTATCTAACTGTGAATCATGATTCTATGCCATTATACAGATTGGAGAGTTGGCGACTAATGCACTACGGACTTCTTTATGTTTTTTCATTAAAGTATCAAAGATATGAAGTTTTGAATGTGTTTCATCATTCATGCGTATATGATTGCATGAAAAACGTTAGAATATAAATGAAAAACAAATTATGAAATTAACACAAATAACTGCATACGTGTGTGTTTTGATAGCAAGCAAATGCATATTTCTGAAATTTTTCACCACAAGGCGCTTGAAGTTCTGGGAGCCTAACTTGGCATTGGGAGTTGGGTACCAGGCTGGCCATCTAGCGGTTGTGTAGCGTTTTCTGAAATATTAGATAGATTTCAAGCTCAGCCGGTCTAAAGTTAGAGAGATTATACTCTTTATTCCGGTATCCTTAAATTGTGACCAATAACGGGAGGTTATTTTTAGAGCTCTAGATAAAAAGGACCAGGTTTTCCCTTTCATACTTACACTCATGTTCAGTCTCTTGCAAAGCTTAATGACAGACTCTTCTCGAAGCAACCAACATAGGGTTCCTGACATGCTAGTATGAGACTGTGGATTACTTGTACTAGACATAAAATGGTCCGACACCCCATGGGCTTGAAATTTGATCTAAAATTATTACAATCTTAGAGACAAGAACATCAGTAATTAATAGGAAGAAGAAAGGGGAAAGTTGTCACAGACGGCAATCACACATCCAACTTATTTTATAAATTAGGAACAATTGCCTTTGTACAATGTAAGTTATAATCGTACTGTTGTTGTTGTATCCAAAGATTTGATAATGTTGTCACAATAGTTTGTACAATTGTGGATCACAAGAGCTAAGGTCTAGGCTTCCATTCTCACCTAACGCATTCAAAACCCACTTACGATTTCAAAAAACGGGTAGGAGCTCGTGATCCCCACTAAAATACCAAAAAAAAAAATAATGTGGATCACAAGAAATGTTCATAGTGTCATATGGTTCATGGATACCTCTAAGGTCTAATTACTGGCATCTATAAATAAGTCAAAAATGCATGGGTGAACAAAGAAAATTTACATCGCCACAGGGAAGGGTAGCAAAGAAGGAATCAAAGAAAACACTAAGGTTGAAAAACAAGAAATTTGGGATTAATGAGTTGGAAATGGAGAAACTATAGGAAATTTTTAAAATTAGTTTAGGGCACTTTTATAAGATCCAAAGGTTTCTAAGAATGGCAATAGTAATATTCTTAGTACAATAAGCATTTGAATCAACAAATTCATCAAGCAAATTCACACATTTAGGAACCAATATTATAAGACTAGTAGCAAGTGGTCAATTTATCTTTCACAAAAAAATGATAGACCAAAGTATTTCAATACGACATGAAAGCAAGTATTCTACATGGTAAAATAGTAACTAAGCATAGCTGATTGCTATAAACAGAGACTAGGGTATGATATTCTGAGTACACAGAAATAAGAAATGATACTTGATTAGCACAGAGAACATACCTACTCCTAGAATGTGTTTCTGGAAGATCAGAAACCTGCAAGAAATTATCCTCCATGTTAGAACATATCAATTTGAAGTATCAATAAGAGTCAAATGGTACAAAACAAAGTGTACACTATCTGATGAAAATCCAAAATGTAAAGACAACATATGCGGAAAGGAAATCGCTGAAGACTCCAAAGGATAGAATACACCATAAACTCAAGCGATATCTATAGTCAGGGGATTCTCATATACATGTCAAAACTAGTAACCTCTCGCAAACTTTCCTAAATAAGGCACAGAGTTTAGGAAGAAATGTGATTAGTGACCAATTAGAAGTAAAAAATAGAAACAAAAAAGAGACAGAAGAAGTGCCATGAAAGAAATTAAAATGCATTCAATTTAGCTATGCAAAATAAATATATCAAATGAAGTAAGCCAATCAAATCCAGCACAACTGTAGTCTAAATGATTTAGCACGACATGAGTTTATCATTATAAGTGCATCTGCCAAAAAAATATTTGTATTATACAAATATCAATGGAGTACAATGACATCTATGAAATCTCCAACCATAGGAAACCAGGATCAAGGCTAAATGAAATATTTCTAACAAAGTGATTCAGTCAAAGGCAAAATGCAGCAACCAAAATTTAGGGATTACTCATCTATACCAACCACAATAATATATGTTCCATATTCCTCATCGAAAGTTGAAAAATTTATGTGAATGCATTTTGATTTGTAAGTCAAAACAAAATGTAAATATTGGTAATATACAGGTCGAGGTAAACTAGGAGACTTCTTGTGGCCCTTGGTCCAACAGTGACATACTTGGTTTGTGAGGTAGGCCAAGGTTTTTTTTTTTCTTTTCGGAAAAGTCCATGTTATATGTATTTATGTATATAAAATGTTTCTTTTGTTTTTTGGAAAAGTCCATGTTATATGTATATATGTACATAAAATGTACAAATATCTCACAAGGCATGAGTTTGAGGCAGTCCAATCAAGGGAGCACAGTACACAAAAAATGAAAACGCAAGAAAAAAAAAAAGAAAAAAGTCTTGCCACCCACATATCGAGTGTCCGGCACATTATAAGATCAAAAAATCAAGTGTATGGCTACCCACAGGCCAGGTCATCAGCACATTCCAGGTGGCATCCAACGAACCAGGTGCTCACGCCCAAAAACAAAAAAGTGATCCATAACTAATAAATATCAAGGAGAGATGAGAAGAGGAAGCAAGAAAAGAGGGGAGAAGTGGAGAAGCAAAGTTAGAAGTAGAAAGGGATAGAGAGAAGGAGATTAGAGGAAGAGGAGACAAGAAATGTCAGGGAGGAATATTAGAGGAGAGATGGAGAAAATATACTGAAAAACTTCCATAGGGGGTGCAATAAAGGAGAGAGAGGAGAGGAAAAGGGAAAAGAGAGATAGCAAAGTAGAGAGAGGGCAGGAGAGAGAGAGAAAATCCAAAAATTCACAAAACACAAAAGGTTAGCTCAGCAAAAGAAGTAGTAGCACCGGCCTCATGGAAGCGTTGCGACAACACTAGCAGCAGCACTCTCCCTAGCTAGAGCATCTGCCGCTCTATTGGCCTCCCTCCAGATATTGACGAAAGCCGACTCTCTTGAGGGAACATAGGACACTCCGACTCTACTACTACCTAGCCCTTCGCAATCCTCGAGGGTCTAAAGCACTCAATTGCAATCATTGCTTGAGTGGGATCTCTTATAGTGGAAGGGGATGCTCGGAATGATAACTTGGCCCATGAGGGGTGGCCAACCTCCATGGAGACTTTCTCACATTTTCGATCACATCCACAGGCTTTGTAGGAACAACCCGACCACTTTTTGCAAGGTTCTGGGAGAAGCCAACCACTGCGCTGATTGACTAGGGAGGGTGCACAGGGGAGGCTCAATGACAAGCAGAGGTTCTACAACTCACTTTTCAATTCCATGATGCACCAGCTATTCATTTAGTGTGTGCGGCGCTGAATTTTGTTTTCCCATTTCCCTCCGCTTTCTTCCCCCTTTCTCTCTTTTCTTCTCTCCTTTCTTCTCTCCCTGTTTCTTCTATCTCTTCCCCTCCCCTACCTCTCTCCCTGTTTCTTCTATCTCTTCCTCTCCTCTACCTCTCCCTGTTTCTTCTATCTCGGCCTCTCCCCTACCTCTCTCCCTTCCCCCCCCCCCCCCCCCCCCTCCTCTCTATTTTCTTCGTCTTGATCCTCTCCTTACAGAAGTTTTAGCCCATTTCTTAAAGGCTCTTTTCATCACAGGTGGCCACACCAGCTTTTTGTATTTAAGCACCCTCTGTGAGGGTTGCCGGTTTTTTAAACTGTGGAATTTATGGTTATCTTTTAGTCTGAGCACCCGAGATTTGGGTTGCCATTCACATCTCTTCTTCATTCTCTCCTCCCCCTTCTCTCTCTCTTTGCTGACCATGACTTCCGAGCACCCGGCCTATGGGTAGTCTCAACAAGGGGCATGGGCCTTTTTGTAATTTTGGTATATTAATATATACAGTACAGTCAACCTTTCTCCAAAAGGGGGGATGGGGGGGAATATGACCATATGGCTCGGGAAACCTACTTCCTTTCATCAATCCATAGCACATTACTTTTTTTGGCACGGGACAAAAGCACCTTAAACCTTGGTGACATCCAACACCACAATATCCATCGAAATAAGCCTCAAATGTTCGCTTCCTAATTATCAACAATTTCCAGCCCTCCAAATTCTCACTTTATAAGTATAACATTGTGCGAAACCTAAGAAAGTCCATCCTTATACTTTAAAACTGTTGCATCAAAGATAAACATCAATATGGAATTCAAGTCAAAACACATTAATTTGAGCATGAAGGGCAGGGGCAGGGGAGGGAGCTCAGCTCTTTGGAGGAATGTGCAGAAGCCTATGCTAGTAGACTGATATGGGCATAGATCTCAATGGACATCAGAGAATTTTTCCTCTCATGTTGTTCCTAAAAACATGAGGTTACAGGGTACTTTTGATTGTTATTCCGCTGTCCACATGAAAGAAATACCAAGTGGAAGATATATCTGAATATGCTGATCAATGAATTCCAATAATCTTTAAATCCTTTTGCATTCAATAGACACTGTCCATGCTTTTCAAGGCAAGACAGGTTGAATCCAAAACGTTCTGAGCGCCAGTAATGCCACCTCCACATGGACCATACATTCTTGTCATAAGGCATTTAAAAGCACCCTCTGTAGTTTAACATTGTCTATCCCTTTGCCTATATCCCCAATCAGTTACATAAAAACCTTATGATATTTACCTAGCATCCATCACCATGGAATTCCCCATAGCGTCCACCTAACATCTGACTAATCCATATTTCAGTACACAATTGCTGTCTGATCCACACTACTTCGCCTAGACAAGCATGGCAACCACCTTATTATCTAAAATGTGGCCTATATATGCATCCCAGCAAATAACAATATACAAACCTGCCTCACTCATGGGGACCCTGAGTTCTTCCACCACCACCTCTCCTCCACTCTCTTAATTTTCAGTCAACTCCCTCATGACTATTTCACAAGTGAACTTAAACCCTTCATACCAAATAAATCAATCAATAAGCCATCATCACCAAAAAACTTCTTCAATCAGGATCATTCATGAGGATGAGTACACCATCATCATTCCCCTCCTCCCTTCTCTCACCCCCCACCCCACCAAAACAAAAAAAACCACCACTACACCAAACCAAAAAGAAAAAGAAAAAAAGCTTTTCTACAAAATTACTCCCATCAAATCAGCTCCAAAAGACTTTCATCAATCTCTAGCCTGACAATGGATGAGTACTCATGTAAGGTGTGGCTGTGGAACTCAAAGTATTAATTTCTTTTTACTTTTATTTCAAATACTTGAATTCCACTTACATGTGCCACAATATATTGCTGGAAAATATAAACAATGCCCTAAATACAACCCAAGATCTTTATTTTACCGCCAAGATAAACAAAAACTATCTAGGAACTTTAAAATAGTTTTTATAACAATTTTAAACACAATATACGTTCCTGAAAAATTACCAAAAATAAAATACATAAATAAAAACTAATGAGAAGACTTACTGAAAGATGCCTAGAGTTATCTAACCAGGACTTGGTACACCACATACCCGATTCCCTGACCAATGGCGCACTTTTCCTCCTTAAAGTGTTCCTGGAAATTCTTAGATAGGGAAGCTTTGTAGGTTATCCTTCTTTCTCTAGGGTTAAAGAGAGCTCAAAAATAATTTAAGGTTTATACAAACCCTATGAGAACAAAATAGGACTGATCTTGGGAGTTGATATCTTTCTAAGTTAAGATTCTCTCTTCTGCCTTTGAAAAATACAGCAAATCCTAGTTTAGGGTTTTTCCAAGAAAAATAGGCCACCCCTAATTTTTTCTTTTGAGACAATAAAAATAAAGGAGGGAGAGAGAGGTCGCGTGCCTCTCGTTTAGTTGAAAGAGAGAGAGAGATAGAAAGTGGCATGAGAGAGAGAAAGAGAGGTCCCTCAATTGGTGCGTGAGGGAGAGAGATCTCTTGGAGAGAGAAAAAGCTCTAGTGATTTTTCAAATAGGTTCAAACCCCTTCTTAAATATTAGCAGTGTTTCAAAAAGCTTAAGGCAACACCTAGGCGGTCGGGGGGTCCAGGTCGCCCAGAGGTTAAGCGGGTGCCCAGAACCTGGATAGCCAAGTAGAAATGTTTTTTTGGGGGTTTTTCGCTCTCTAAAATAGGCTCTAATGTATTTTATGTTTCAAATAAACCTAAAACCCACAATTTTGCCTCTTGAGTATTAAAAAAATGACCCAAAAAGACCCTCAACGAGGGACATTTCCACCCCTGCGCGGCCGCTTGGGCCGCCGCCTAGGCAGGTTCAGGCAAGCGCCTCAAGATATCTACCTAATTTAGCCGCCTAAGCCTGGGCGATGGGCCCAAGCCTTCTGGACCGCCTAGGTAGCCGCCTAGGCGTTAGGCAGTTCGCTTTCTAAAACACTAAATAGACGAAAATTTGAACTCCTAGTTTGAATA